CATGTTAATACACATTTAAAACTATGTTTTGATTAACCAAGCCAAAGTGAGAACTAAAATTTGGGTGGTGTTTTAAGTTATTAGAATTAAACTAAACATCTGGAAAGTCCAATATTAACTAAAATAGAAAAAGTCTAAAAATTCAAAGACTAAAATAGATATTTTGAGAGTTGTAATCTTTAAAATTTACCACTAATTTATATTTACATTTATGGTTGCATATTATATTAATATAATCAAAATATTTTTCACTTTTCAGTAAATATAGTAACTTTCATTTACTTCGTATTACAATAATAATGGTAAAAAATACCATTGGAAGCCTTATTTGTGGCAAAGATGAAAGTTGATGTAGAAGGGAAAGAAAGCCTTGGGCTCAAATCGTAGCAAAATAAAGCATTCTAAATAATAGAGAGTCAATTTGAGCTTATTTTATTATTGATCACCTAAATTAAAATTATGTTTTCTAAGATCCTTTTTTCTTTTTGCCTTTGTCGTCTCCATCAGATTGGCTCTCTTTCCATCTTGTCCAAGCCCACCTCAAGATGAGATATCCTCCTAAAGAATATAACTGAAAAGTAGATGAAATCAACACATGAAAATAGTTCCAAAGTTTACTTCAATCTTTTTCTTTTTAATAAAATTTAAGGGCATACGGATCCATTCATATTCTTGTTGACCGTCACTAAAAATTTGACATCTTTTTTCTTTTAAAATAGAAAAATATATTTCATTTTTTTTAATTCATTTTATCTATTTGTCAAAAATTTAATGGTGGTCAATCAGAGATGAATGTTGATTAGTGCACACCTAAATATTTATTTGTTTTAGTTTGGCAGAACAAGAGCCATGAATTATGATGGTGGAAGCACATGCAGAAACTAGAGAAATCAAAGTAAAATTCCTCAAAATAATAATAATAATAATAATTAACAGAAATAACTATTTAATAACCAAGTTAATTTTACATAAAAGAAGTAATCAAAATAATTTTCTTTTTAGAACTCCTATACATATTTTAAAAGTTTAATAACTAAAAAAATTGGAAACGGAATAAACTTTAAAAAATTACGAGGAGCCAAAAGTTTAACAAACAAAATAGAATAACATTCAAATTCATGAATCAAAATGTATCTATTTGAAGTTTAAGAACAAAAATATAATTTAAACATATGATATGAGATACGTTCAAATCTGATTTTAGTTTCTATACTTTTAACTTTTATAAACTTTGGTCTATATACCTTTAAAAAAATCCTTTTTGCATATTTGGTCCTTGTATTTTTCTTTTTTCATGAGTTCATTAATGATGGGTAGGGGTAGTGATTTGAATTTCTAACATCGCATATGGTTATTTATGTTTTAACCAGTTGAATTATGTTTAAATTGACGTCTTGATTAATAGTATGTACGAGAATATTTTAACAAATTTATTCATAATATTTGTACTGCAATTTGAGAGTGCCAGATGAACCAAGCAAATAAAGGAACAGGAGTAAATTAAAAAATTCAAAATATAGGAACCAAATCAAGACTTTGCCCAACTCAGAAGATGAAAATTTGTTATTTAACAATTAGAAAAACGAAATAAAAAATGGGGAGACGTAAAACTGAGAGTTAATTTTCATTCAGTGCACAACACACAAAATTTGAATTTCAAGAGAAGGAAACAGAGCATGAGAGAAATGGGGGGAAAGAACGTTACCGGCCACCGGATTGCCGGATGCGAAAACTTGGAAGGCACCTTGGGCTCAGCCGTCAACGGCGGAGGAGCAACCACTTTTACTCTCGGAACTCTGACCACGTTAGGTTTCTCACTTCCACTAATTCCTTCCACCTGATCGCCTAATTTCGCCGCCGTTTTATTCTCCGGCGCCAAATTATTAGGGTTTCTATCAGGCCCGTACATTGTTCTGTTTCTCTTCTGCTCAAACTCCGGCCAATGCCGCTGATCGGAGAAGATTTTCGTTGCGCCTTGGCTTAATTCTGAAATTTGTGCACAACATTTCACTGCCACTCTCTTCTTCCTTTTCGCCTCTTCTCTTTATCGATCTCATTGCTTCTTTTTCCCGCCAATACGATGCTTCAATTCGCTAACCAAAATTAACGTACGGTTCAAATACTGTGAAAGACATACTCTCAGACTCACAAGTATTTCCACGAATTGTCCGCTTTAGGCTTTAGGCATAATAAGAAGATTGAGAAGAAATTTTCTTAGAAAGGATGGAATTATTCCTTTCCAATTTAGAAGGAAACTTTTATTCCGATGGATATCCTTGCAAACAAAAAACGCAGGACATGATTCCAAATTGTTGTGAATTATTGAATTTCTGATCGTAGAAGATTTTCGTTGCGCCTTGGCTTAATGCTCAAAATTTATGATATCTAGAAGTTAATTAATTATATAAATAAATAAGTTTATAAAATTTAAACAAACAAGCGCCCATGGCCTAATGGATAAGGCGTCTGACTTCTAATCAGGCGATTGTGGGTTCGAGTCCCACTGGGCGTGAGATTGGTTTTTAAAAGGAGATTTTTTCTTTTCTTTTCTTTTTTTTTTTCTTCCTTTTTGGTAGAAAATTAGAAATCAGAAGTCTACATGCAAAATTAATTATTGTCGATACAAAGTTAATCGTGGAATAAATAACCACCATCTTTTTTTTTAAAAGAGATTTTCCATTTTCTATTTTTTTTAATTTTTCTTTGGCAGAAATCAGAGGTCTATATACAAATTAATTATGATAGATACAATAAATTAATAATGGAGTAACCTTACGATTTAATAATCTGCCATATAAGATAAAATTATAATAAATGCACTCTCCCCTTCCAGTTTTTTAACTTTTCTTTAAATGTAAATCTTTCGAACTCGGTGCTCGAAGAAAACAAAAAATATATATATATATATATAAATCGTAATTCGCAAATGACGAAATTAAGCCCAACAATTTATTTCTTAACATAAATCAGTTACCATCTTAGCTGAAAAATTAAGTAGGAAAAGTGAAATACATAAATTCTCTCTTCTCCAATGTAAACCTTTCCTACTTCGCACATGATCAAACTAAGCCTAATAAATATAAATTAATTATCAACTACGATCCATTTGGTCTAAGTAGGTCCATCAGGGCAGCTAAAGAGCCTCCGGGAAACGTAAGTCTGCAGGGCCAGGTCCCAAAATCCCCTTCTGTTCACTAATCTTACCCAACCCGGGGCCGGGAACAACAGGAACAGGAACGGGAACGGAGACAGGGACTGGAACCGGAACGTGAACCGGAATCGCAACAGGAATCGGACCGGAAACATGCTCTGCCTGTACACTTCTTTCTTCATCTCGCCACCCACTCCCCTGCCACTCTCTCTACAAAGCCAAACAGCAAAACCAGATAAATTAAAGGCTTACTGGGAAAACAGTAAATTTAATGAATGAACCATCAAGTAAAAACTCTCAAGTTCCAAATGTATATATCACAGTTGTTTGCTTTTAAAATGGCTTAAAAGAAACTAAAAACCATTCCAAAAATAGAAGCTTGCCTCTTCGAGATCATAACTAGTTTCTGGCAATAAGGGGGACATGATTGGTGGAGTAATGTCTGGATCTGGCTTCTGAAATATGAATGTTGTGTACAGACCTATTTTGAAAAAAAAAAGAAAAAAAGTGCCATAAAAACATATTGGTAATGTGCTATTGCTAAAATGATAATGAAGTTGGGAAGAAAAAAAGAAAAAGAAAAAATGAATTCATCACCTAGTACATCATATGATCGAGGAAGAAGTCTCCCCCTGGGATCCACAAGGTTTGGACCACAACTCATGAGCATTCCTGCAAATTGTGCTCTGTTTGCGGCAGTCAAAATAAGGAGGGCAAACAATCAGACTCGCAAAAGAACACAAGTTGATAGTTTTAAACATTGATGAGCATTTCATCAATTAGAGACTGCAAAAACCTGTTGTCGTCATAGAATTCAGTTAAGTTCTGAATCTCGACATACTCAAGACCCGCTTCTCTAGCCAACCTGAGTGAGACATCGCTACCATTTAGTAAATTATCAATCAATATTTATAAGATAGTAGAAACATAAAGAAAAAGAATATATGTTCATGTATGTGAAGGAATTCTGGTTTTGTAACACAAATGCAGTTAGTTTATGGATATAAGAAGGATATGTCTAAGAACATGGATATAAGAAGGATATGTCTAAGAACTGAAACAATGATGTGGTTTGTGATGGGTAAAAAGAATTAGACCTGATGAAGCTCGGAAAATGGACTAAACAATGAGTCTCAGCAGAGGGATCATATGCAAATTTCAGCTGATATTTCTTCCCAAACAATGGGAACCTGAAACACTCGATATCATCAGTTACCATAGATTGAAAGGAAAAGAAAATTCATCAAAACAATCCAAAGATTAAGAAATATTCTCAAGTTATCAAATCATGCATACTTTTCTTCCTCGACTTCAAAGGTAATCATGTAGCTTTCCGATCTAATGCAATTGGGTACAATATTAGGCTTCATGCTAGTACTCCTATTGTGGTATGCTTCAACATTCTTCTGATACTTTGCCCTTCAAGAGTAAAACAATCTAAATATTTTAGAACTTATTTTTCCTTTCTTTCTCATAGCAATAATGCGGTGTAGAATATTACACCAATAGTATTGACAAAAAAGAAAACCTAAATTCAAGAACAGAAGAGCCAAGATCTAAACAATATCTTATAAAATGATGAACATTTAGACAGAGCACAGGCTTAGAAGCCGAAGGATATAGCACATTGGTCACAATCACATTTCATAGTGTGTAAATTTTTAGGTAGGCCTTGCTTTTTCGGAGCTACTCCCAACTGAACTTTGGTGGAGGAGGTGCCATGAAGAATTGAAGATCTACAAGTATTACTTTAGATTATAGCAAAGAATTATGTACTTCTATTTTAACAACTTCACGATACTTCTTAAATTTTGAAAGGCTGGTAATTTATATGATATCTACTAACAATATAAAAGGTTCATACTGTACATCTGAAATTTGCAACGGTAGAAAAGGAATGGTGGCCGAAAGAAGAGATGTTATTGAATATGAATAAAACATCAGATCAAAAATTGTAGATTAAAATATAAAAATAACAACAAACTTCAAAAACAATTGGATTCAATATTATTAATTCATACCATATTGTAGACGAGTCAGGAGTAATACCAAAAAAATAACCCCCAGGTTTCAGCAATGCTGATACATTATGTAAAAGTCTACTTGCTCTCTCCTCAGTTTCAAAACACATCTGCAAGAAGTTATTTCATATTAAGAAGCATACATCATCTAAAATATGGAAGACAATATCAACTCTCTGGTCTCTCCCCTACAATCAATATACAAAACAAGAAAAGACAAGGGAAAAAAATTCCACATGAAGTACCTGCAGATGCTGCAAGCAGCAGACTAGATCAGCTGTCTCAGTTTTGTCTTTCAACTGGGTTTCAATATTTTCCTGTCAAAACAGAATATAGTTGCATTTCAACTGGGTTCAATATAATAAGTTTAACATTTGCATTAGAAATCAAATCTGTGAAATAGAAGTAAAAAATGAATTAGCATTTGATCAGGATGACATTGGTTTAAAGGCCTGACTAGTTAGCTATAAAGAAGTTCCAGATTGCTATGCATGCGTATGAAGTGCATTCTACTCAAATTCTTTGTTTCCGAAGTTTGGTAAGAAGTGATAATAGACAAGCAAAAAGAAAGATTTGCATGTATATATATATATATATATCATTTTTGAAAGAAGGATCTAATTTTTTCTTTGCAAAATCTCTCTCTCTCAAAACGAATATGCTTTTCACTAGTAGGCCTACCCCATCCAAGCAACACAAGAAAACCTCAATTCAGAAAATACTCAGATACATAGTGCAACGAGTGCCCTCGAGCCAATGAAGTATTATCTGATTGTTTTTTGCCCTGTTTATTCCTATAAGCAAGAGCAATAATGAAAGTAGAGCTAATGATGCTCAAATTTTGAAGCCGCATTTATAGAATAGTCAAACTCCTCTTTTCGCCCATTTTAACAAACCAACATGCTGATTACGGAAGTGTTCTTTTTCAATTTATCAAATATATGAAGAGATTTTGGAGAACAGTTCATGATAACAATTAATCAAATAAAAGCAGCCCAATTTGGTTCATAGTGAGCAAAAATAACATTCCATATCACTATAATGGAGTTGCATAAAATGCTGCAAGAGGAATGAGTAGAAACAAAGGCAGATCCTAGACTGCCATGGCTATAAGAAATGTTCGAGGTAAATGCATAACTAGGGGTGGTTAAGCAGAACAAAGAAGTGAAGATATATCAAAAGGAGCATCCCATCTCCAATCTTCCACCGACTTAATTTTCCTCCCTTTTCTTATTTTCCAAGTATAAGGAAATATTAGAAATAAAAACTAGACTACATGGGATGAATTTCAAATGTCTCCAGTATCTATCTTAAAAAATCTACTCATTGTACTGTCAATCATGGTCACTATGATGGAGCGCCTGAGGAACCTCTTTTTCAAGAAGTAGCCATAAATAAAATAAAATAAAGTCTTTTAAAATAACAATATTTCACTTGGTCACAAGACAGATTTCCTCCCAACTATTAAGTCAATTTGTGACCAAAAAACTTAATGGACAGTTCGTTTATTTCACATGATCTAAATTTTGTATAGAATAATCACCATAAGATGAGAAATTAAACATAACTGTAGTCCACATATTGATTTCACCATGTTTAGTTTAAAAAGTCAGAAACATCATTTGAATCCAGAACTAGTAGAGTAAGGAAGCAGTGATCGATCCATCCATTCATCCTCACTTTAATTTCATGGTTACGTATAACAGTACTTCCAAGCTACGTATAACTATGTAGTTTCATGAAAACTGAGCTCAGTTATAATTTTCTCACTATATTGATGTTTCTTAGATTTGATAATGTATTTTGGTGATTCTGTGAATAAAACAATAATTGAAACGAAAAACTGAAGAATTAGCAGGGAAAAACCCACCACGCAAGGATCAACCTCAAAGAATTCAGCAGCGTAAGCCTTCCTCTGGCTCTCCCATGCCTCTCGCATTTGGCTGATTCCAGAAGTGGATCCATCTAAAGAGCATCAACAATTCCATCAAAAGGAAAACACAAAACAAAATATACAGTAAAACAACTCGACGCAACTTCTTTCAGCGAAACAAACGGAAAAAACTAAGGTCTCAGAAAACCTAGATACCAAGTCCAATGTAGTGACTGATTTGAGCTTCGTCCCACTTCTCCGCATCCGCTCCTCGCGCGCAATATAAATCACATACCTTCATAAATAAATAAAAAACCTGATTACATCTTGCATACACTCCTTTACACCTAAATCATATGCACAAACGCCGGCCGGTGGCGAGCGGCGGCGGGGGAATTGACGATCGAGTTTAACGACTGACCGTGACGTAGGGGTGCGCGAAGATCTTGATAAGGGCGGTCTTAGCGAAGTCGCAAAGGCGGTGGTGAATCGATTCCGTTCTCGGACCAGCGAGTTGACTCATTTGAGTTGTAGGGAGCCAGTTTCCGGTCGCCGGAGCAACGATTCGCGCCCTTTTCACTCTCCGTCTCCAAGATTTGAATTGCGCGCAAGTCTTCTGCGAGGGATTTTACAGGTCGGTCGTTTTTTAACCAGGGTTTTCACAAATTACTTTTTAGGGGCCTTCAGATTCTATTTCATCTTTTCAAATTTATTGAATCAATCTGATTCGGTGAATATGTGTTAGATTTGTTTTTTAAATTTCAGATTCTGTAATTCGGAAATTATGAAAACAAGTTTTCCGTATTTTTAGATTAAGAATTTGCAATTTCAAAAATATAAAACTTTGATAATTATATTATTTTATGTTTTAAATTAATTTTATTTTTGTTAAAATTAGAACAGGTAAGATACAATATATTATAAATTATATAACGTTGTAAAATAATAATTATACAAAATTTATAATAAAAATATTAATTAATGTTTGTTTGTTAACATTAAACTAAATATTTAATTGGTAATTATGGCTAATTTACAACTATATTGCTAAATAATCATTGAATAATTTTTCAAATTTAGATTCAATTACCAACCTATATAAAATTATTAGATAATTGTTAACTAACTTTACAAAGAATATTCTATATAACAAAATACAGTAGCAGTTATCATTTTAAATGTTGATGTCGATGAAAACATGATCGAGATCTCAATTTCATTGAAATATCTATGAAATGTCGATGTTGATAGATATTTTATCAACTAGAAATTAAAAAATCGTGAAAAGTATTTAAATTACCAAATTAACATTTCTTATTTCTAAACAAATTAAAAATGATTAATATGTATATGTATACATTTGATGTCAAATTTAAGCTCCTTCAAATCCCGCCAAATTCGCACCAAATGATGAAACAGAAACGAGCATGAATCCTGCAAAAACCAATAGCGCACTGAACACTGATGTGGATCCTGCTAGCTACACAGGCTCTGATACCTAAGTTAGTATCGGATATAGCTGAGTATGAAAACTAGGATTATGGTTTAGTCTAATAGAAGTTGAATCCGGGTGCTCTTATGGGACTGTGCACCTTGTTGTGGGCCCAAGGTCGAGGAGTTGTTTGCTTGTTTTAGGGTCTCACCAAGACAAGATAGGTTTAGTCATATCGAGCCAAGCATAATAGTTGGAGAGGCCTTGTCGAAGTTCTGGGCCTACTGACCGACGCCGACCCCAAGGCGGCCTTAGCCTGAGCTGCTCGACCTCTACGTACGGACTTTGACCTCACTGCTTGGTTTGTATACCTAAGTCCTCTTCTCCCTCGACCCAATTTGGACATATTGTCGCTTAGTTAGATCTCATTTAATTATGACAGTATATATTAGTAACTTTTTGTTGATATTTTTTATAATTTGTTAATCTTTATTGTAATATGATGGAAATATTGATTTATCCCTCCTGTCATGTTGAACTCATGAATATATAGAAATGTTATATAGAAATGTTGATGTGTTGACGAATATTTAATACCATGATCCCACCTACCACCTTTTACAAATATTTGCTTAAAAAATAGGGTTCTCTTTCCATACTAATTCCAATTTCCTATCGATTTCCATTTTGATTAACTTTTGAAAACCATTTCCAATATCTCATTTTCTCTAATAATCAACTGACATAACTAAGTGAATAAAATATCTATTACCATTCCAATGATCCAGATTCATTCTGATTCAGATCCTCTGTCTGACAATAGCTATCTTCGGGTAAAAAAAAAAGCAGCCACTATCAATATTTAGTTCACATATTAGCAAATAAACGATAAGTTTTGGCATCCAAAATGATTTGTCGGATGGAAGCGATACCTCCCATTGCTGCCAGCACCGAAGAAACTGCAACAATCAAAGTGTTTAGCCAGAACACAAGGCCACCCTTTGAAGGCTTGAAAGTCACATTGTAGAAAATCATAGGCATGATGAAGTCGAGAGGAATGAAACCAAATGCTCCAATTAGTGCCATTAGATCCCCAAAGAAAGGTACCATCGCTGCAAAAATCGTCGCAATCACCACCGACAGCGACCGCGTTATCAACCTCGGCACGACGTTGCGGATTGAAAATTGGCTTTTGTTTGGATCGGCAAATTTCTTCTCGAATGCTTCGTTCGTTGGTTGCAAGTAAACCTACACAAAAATAAATAACACACCTCTTTAGTCCATGCTTCAAAATAAATAAATAAAGAATTTCTAAAGTCCTCGTCGTCAATTTTGTTTGTCTAAATTCACAGTACAAAACACCTTAACATGCTTACATGCTTTCTTATTTCTTGAGATCACACTTAACTTAGAGTTTCTATGAACGTAAACCGTCTAAGATAAAAACACGTATAAATACGTCTTAAAATTGGTACACTTGGGAGATAGCGGATCTTACGCCGGTGACAGCGGAGACTTGCAAGAGGCAGAAGGCATTGGTGATGGTGAGAAACCAAGAGGGAAGCAGAGGCTTATTGGCGCCCAATCCCATGAAGTTTGAAAGAACAGTTCCCATGGCCTCATTTCCAAAGGCCCAATATCCAGAGATTGCTACACTGAAAAAAGTGACGGCTATCACTGTGTAACACAGGCACAGCCCTTTGAACATCTTACCTTTCACTGGAGCTGCGATTGTTGCCTGCAAAGTTCAAAACCTCTCTCTTCAACATCCCTCAACAAACACAATTTTTCGGATTCTAAATTTGTGGAGTTCTAATAACTGTATTTTGATCAATATCTTTTATGTTTTGTTTTCAACAGATCATGACGTAGCTTCACAGCATGTGTTCAAGCCACATATGTGGAGATATGTTGAGCATAGTTTTTTTTTTTAATTCCATTCAAAAGTCATGAAGTTGAATATTCATTCCCACATGCATACTAAAAAAGGGTTGGAACAAACTCTGGACAAACATATATCATATTAGGTAACAAAATGATATAACAAGGATCAGAATGGTTATTTTCTTTTTAAAAGTTAAGGGTCAATGCTCCGAATATGTAACAAACTTAAAATTTCAACACACAAATGAATATTTTGAAAGTTTAGAGTCAGGGAATAAAATTTATACCAATATTTGGGTTGAGTTTAGTTATTTGGGTCATTTGCTTAAAATTTTTCCAAATAAATGGTTAAAATCCAAGGAATGCAACATATTGACAAGTGAATTTACATTTTTGTACCTGTATTTCAGGAACAATTCCACAAGCGTAGGTAGTCGCAATAATTGAAATGCCATTGAAGGCACTAAATAACTGGCTTATATCCGACCCTTTAAGAGAGTAGTTTCTTGGAGGTGCATTCTTGGAATAACCTGTGATTTGAAGTCTATAAACGTAATTTTCACAACACGATCAAAGAAGAAGAAAAAGAGAGCAAAAGTTCATAGTTTTATTATTATTATTATTATTATTTTGTTCTTACCAACGTGTAAAGAAGCAGCTGTGACACAGGCGCTATAAGCGAGAGCGAGAACGAGAGATAGAAGGTTGATGTGCCTTAGAGAGTGGAAAGATGGAACTTGAGCCAAAATCAGGATTAAGACCCCAAATATGATGATGAATTGGTGGAGTTTCATTGTCCCATTTGAATTTGAGAGCAAATACATGTACTGCCAAAACAGGGAAAAGAACAGAAAACTGACTGGCGGAGTTTCTTAACGATATAAAAATATCTATTTTGATTCATATATTTTTTAAAAAAACTATGGTCCATTTATTTTTATTTTTAATTTGTTGAAATGTAACCATAAATTTATGTTAAAGAGTTTAGTATGTATAAAATTTTAAAAACCAATTTGATCCATTTTCAAAACTACGGGATCAAAATAGATATTTTGAGAGTACAATGACTAGAAGGAGGAAGAAAAATTGAAAGTAGATGACCATAGCCAAAAAGTAAAGAGATTAAAATTGATCAAGGGTGTGTTTGGTGGCAAAATCAATCATGTTTGACAAATTAAAAAATATCAAAGGTATCGATGATGATTTTGAAAAATCAATTATTCTTAAATCTCATTTTTCAAAACCACTCACAACACACCCTAAAACATGAACCCTAAGCATCTGAAGATTTTTTGCCATTGGAGTAGTATTTAATAATACTAAAGAAATAAGCTAATTTGAACCTAGCTTAAACTGATTGAGTATTTATTTTTAATTAAAATATCGTAAGTTCAAATTTCCACTGCACTAGTTGCACTAAAAAGAATATCGAAGAAAGAAACTCACTTTGAGGTTTTGGCCACCGAGAAGAATTCCAGAAACAACAGCACCATAGCATACTCCAAATTGAATTGGGCCAACAAAGTATTTTCCCCATCTGGGACCTGCCATCACACAACAATATATATATATATATATTTATTTATTTATTTATTTATTTATTAATAATTAATAAAATAGGAGTAGAAGAAATAGGCTACCAAGAATATGAGTAGCCATGTCTCGAAACCTAAGTAGACGGCGACCAAGCATGGCGTGGTGCTCCAAAACGAGAGACAGAAGATTGTAGGAATAGAAAGTTACGAAAGCGCCAAAAATAAGACTTATAATTCCGCCCACCCAACCCAACGCCCTCAGCGCAAACGGAAGGCTCAGCAGCGCCGGAGCCACTATCGATGTTGTCAAGTGATACCCACAATGTACCCATGATCCTATATATCACATGCATCACCAAGACACAATCAACAACAAAATGAATAATAAATCGAACAACAAATTTTTTAGTGCCTTTGAGATTATTTTTTTTAATTCGTAAGGAACAGTCTTTTTCATCTATAATATATGTCTTAACTAATCAACGTTAGAATTATCTTTAATATCATAACTTTATATATAACTAGTCACAAATAATCTATATATATATATAGACACAGAAAAAAAAAATCCTCTCAAAATTCTCCTTTTGTACAATTATTCAAGTATTGGTGTTCAGTTCTGTGATTAGAGTGTTACACTCACAAGTTAATAATTTGTACTACTTGGATTGTTCGTGAAACCTTGAACAAGAAAATAAAATTATCTTGAAGCGCTTCGAATTATTTATTTTCCTATTTTTTTCTTAAGTTTCTCGACATATTGCTATGCTAAGATGACATTTGTCTCACAGTTTTTAAACAATCAAATGCTTTGATAAGATTAGTCTAAGTGTTCATGTGCTAGGTTCAAACACTTAAAAGATATTAAAAAAATAATAATAATAACAAAAAAAAAAAATTCTTCTTATTAAGTTTGGGGATGAGGATTGAAATTTGAAACTGCGTTCTTCACACAAACTAGAAGACTCTAATTAATTCAATATATTTATCAACTTTTATTTATACACTAATAATTATCGTTAAACATCTATTTTATTGATATTTAATTGTTCTTTTATCAATAAAATAATTATTTTCTTTTAAAGGCAGAGAACTCTCCACGTTAGAACCAGAAGTAGGATCCCGAAATCATCAAGGCCAACACCGACTTTGTGAAGACAAAGAAAAAGGCCAGCGTAAAAATTAATGGATGTTTGCTAATGATTCTTAGAACCAATTATTCCCTTTTGTTTTAAAATATTTTGTAAAAGTTGAGATTTATTTAATTCAAGGTTGTTATTTGAAATATCCACTCAATTCAGAAAAAAAAAATTATATATTACAGGCCGATTTTCCGATCACCAGAAAAAAAGATGGCGAAGTAAAATGAACGAAAAGCCGCCGTAAACAATTTCCCGCCGCCTCATTGAAAATAAAATATAATGATTAATGAACCGGCGAACGGAGAAAAAAGAGAGATTTGAATCGTAAATAATACAATTCATATGATCTGCACCCGTACTGTATAACCGAAGAAACAAACACACGTCATCACTAACCTCTGGATTTAAGCACAAACAGAGCTCCGGCGTCGAGCTCCGCCGGCGACAGAACGTGAGCGCCGCCGCCGTTCTCTTTCTCTCTCGCAGCTACGTCGCCGCCGGAGGTTGGCGCCTCAGTTCCCATCTCTCTCTCTGAAGACAACTAGGATAAGACAGTAGCCCAACCGAACGAGACGACGCCCATCATCTTCGACAAGGCCACGATGTAATTAAATAGTATTATATTATTACAGCATTATCACTGCAAAGTTACAAATACACCCTTACTTTTGAATTATTAAAACATCAAAATATTAATATTTTATTAATATAATTTTATAATTTTGTTGATATACTCTTCATGGTGAATATATATATTACACGAAAAAAATAATTTGAATTTGATTTAATTAGTTTGGTTCGGAGAGGTTTTAATCTTCACGCGACACATCAACATAAAATGAAATGAAAATTTAAAACTGTGGAGATAAATAGGTGAATTTTAGTTAAAATAAGAGGGGAGATTTTTGGCAGATTCCATGAAAGATGTGTGAAAAGGTTATGGCTGATTAGGAAAGATTAAAAAGTACTTCTTCTTTACACATATTATCAAAGTTAGTGGGCCCGGGGTAGAGCGCAAGTTGGAGGGCAATTGAAGGCAATTTTGGACTAAGCGCAATAACTGCACTTTCAAAGGTCAATTTGTTGAAACTTGAAGAGGAGAAAAACTTACGGTTTGTGTCGTATTTGGTTTGCCAATTTTTCTTTTCTTTTGTTGAGTACAATATTAGCAAACTTAAATATTTTGATGGATAATAAATGTCTCAATAAATTGAATTATGTTCATGTTTACTTAGTTTGGAAATCTAAAGGTGAATTAGTTGAAATTTGAAGAGAAGAAAAATTTGTTGATACTAAAATAATAAATTAGATGTTTGTATTCTAAAATAATAGATTAGAAATCTCATTAAAATTATTTTATAGTATTTTGACAATAGTATAATCACTTTTAGATGTAGTGAAACCAAACAAACATCCCAAATATAACCAAATATAAATATTTAAGTTTAAACTATTTTACAGAGAGTGATTTAAGAAAAAAAAAATGTCAAACTCATCTTAAGTCTAATGTTTCTAATCTGAAGAAAAACTAAATTTGTTAAAATATTAGTAACCTCTCTAAATTGTAAATTATCTATATATATATATAACTTTCTTGCTTCAAGAATTAGATTTTAAAATTTTAGGTAGAGATGCTAAAATAACAAAGAAATAGGTATCCTATCATATGATAGGCTTTTAATTTTAATTATTAGTCCATTCACTAATGGGTCGCTTTTGGAGGCATCTTCACTTTTTTTCGTGTCGTTTCAGTTTCTATTTACAAAGAAGTTTTAAGACGTAAAGTAAGGAAGAGAAGCAAATTTAATCTAAATGAACACATAAATGATGTCTAAATTGAAAAGGAAAAATTAAGATTTAAATCCGAAGTCCAAAATTTTTAGAAATTCCACTTCCATCGTAGACATCAAAATCGCCTCTTTCTTTTTTTTTTCTTGTGATTTTCGATGGAAAAGAAAAGTGGAACTCCATGTGTTTTTAGAGATTAGTCATCCATGAAAAATGCTAAGAAACAGTTGATTGGAGAACTTCAAAACTAACCAGGATTAAGTATTATTTTGGAAAACTTTGAACCTTGTACTTTCAAATTAATTAAATCAAATCCATATACTGTGAAAAGTGATCATTTCGATCCATATTTACAAAAATTTAGCATGAATTTTATACCCAATAGAAACTCTTTAATATAACTTTATGGCTACATTTCAAAAATTTTATAAGAAAAGCGTCATGTAAAAGTTGTGATCAAAAGATCTAAATGATCACTTTTTAGAGGTACTGGAACCAAAACGAACATGTTAGAAGTAGATGAACTAAAAATGAACCAAAGTTGAAGTCTAAGGATCAAAATAAACCTTCTGTAGTTTAAAAAAAAAAAGCATTTTGTAAGTATAGAAACCAACACGCACCAAAGTTGAAAGTATAAGAACCAAAATAATATTTAAAAAATAAAAAAAACCTGACATTATTTCACTAAATCTTTGTTATAAGAGAACAAAAAACTGATTTTAAAAAGAATTCCCAAGCAAACCCTGAAGTGAACATTATGTTCCATTCTCTGTTGGCTTGAAAACAGATTTAAATTACACTGCCAGTGTCATGCATATAGAATCATCTACACAGCCATTAACAGGGGTGAAATATAATACACCACAGAAATAGTGCTTATTGCTTTATCAATGAAAGGAGCAAATTGGGTTTGGTTTGTTGATGGTTTGACACAGCAAACCAAAGCTAACTTTGTTCGTGGTTCTCGAATACCCAACAGTAATTCCGTGATTTCCTAGATATCAAACTCAGTTTCGAAAGAGATATTGGCTAACCTGATCTATTCAAAATCGACTTGTTCCCGACGAGCATTTTTTGTGTTCACTGATCAGTGATCAAATATCATTGTGGATCTCCAAGATTTGCTATAACGCTGTGATGGACACATTTTCATCAGTATGAACAATGATAAAACATAATACATTGCAACTAGTCCTCCCAAAATGGCAGAAATCCACCTTTCCATTATATTTTCAAGAAAATCATCAATGGAACTCAGGAAAAATAATGCACCAGAACACCCAGAATGGGATTACAAAGATGATGTCTACACCAAATTTAGAATATAATAAGCGTAACAAGAAAACGATTACCTACAAAACTTTACCAGCCAATTGCTTGAACTGAGGTTTCTGGTGCCAATTATTGAAAGTAAGGCAGTTTATTCAAATTTTGGAGAAAGCAGTCTACTCCTAATGTGAATGAATTGTCTGTCTAATCCCAGATTGCAAGCAGTTTTCAATTTCTACATGCTTAGTTTGGGTGAACTTTTGTCGGACGGAGTCTCCAGAATGTCATAGTGACCATACCCATGAAATAACACGTTGATGGGGCTTTCCTCACCCTTCTGATACTCTTGACCGTACTTGGCTATGTTTATCAGACCATCTGAGCCTCTCTCTCTCATGAATACTGATATTGGAGTCCTGGGAGATGCAAAGCGTGCAAAAAGGTGAAGAAAGTTCAGTAATTAAACAATCTTGAACATGGAACTCAAATACAAGGTCCAATTACAATTATTTTCATTTGTGTTGTGTCACACATAAGACAGAGAATGCCTGGTTAATGCATGAAATACAGCTTTGTTGACAATAAGCTCCCATGAACGTAATATAGATGTTGGGATCTGAGAGTTTAGGACCATCTACTGGGGCGGAGAGATGTCTTGAGGTGAGTTTAGTATGACGCTTGGAACAACATAAAGTCATTTTACATGAATAAAAGCACTTTCATATCTTTTATAATGTTTGGTCATATAGCTAAAAGTGTTCTTGGAAATATTAAAAAAAATGGCAGTTAAGTGAGGTATGGTTACATAGCTAAGAATAACAATAATATGAGTGAGTTCGGGCTGACTTTTGAGAGTAGTGCTTTTAAGTGAAACTATTTTTCTGAAACTACTTTTTGGAAACCACTAATTATCAAGTGTTTTTTATAACAATACTTTCCAAAGCACTAATTAGGTGCTCGTGCTCTGTCTGTTTCTTAAAACTTTAAAAGCATTTTAGATAATTAGCTAAAAGCATCCTCCACTATTCTAAAAGTAATGTCAAGCCAACCTTTAAGTACTTTTAGAAGTTCTCTCAAAGCTGTATCAATCTCACCCTTAGGAGGATTTGACTCACAAGTCAAATTTGTGTAACCCAAGGTTAAGACGTAAAGCCTATGTTTGATAGTGGTTTGTTTATCCTACATTATCGTTACCCTAATTCCAATTCGTGCTATACAAATTCAAGTTACATATAAACCTGATTTTCATAAAACTCACTTTCTATACTACATACTCTTACATACTTTATCTATTCACACATGAAAGCTAAAAGAAAAATAAAATAAAAAAGCGAAAAAAGCTGTTTACTCCACATAAAAACACACAAAATACATCAAAGTAGTGCAAAGTATTTATATCAGGTTATCAGCAGAACAAAGTGTTTGAGTTACCAGTTTGGAAAGTAGCAAATTTTGAATGCATAGCAAAATTTTCAAACATGAACCAACCATATAAAAATGTCATAACTCAATCTGCAAATGCAATGTATAGAAGAAAATTTATCAATGTAGAGTTAGAAGAGCCAAAATTGTGGCAGCAACCAGACACAAATAAAAACTCACTTCAGGACATGAGATGCCATGAGCAATTCAGGTTCTCCACCCCACACGAAAGGTTGCTGAATTCTCTTTACATACGCATCAAAGTCTCCTTCAATATACCTACATGCATTTCTAATCATTACAACCAGCCATTTTGAACCCAACCAAATATGCCCAATTCGTGTCATAAACATCAGAAGAGCTTACCACTCTGTTTCCTTCCGCCTCTTTAATAGCTCATCCACGACCTGTCAAGAATTAATCAACCTAATGAAGAACACTCGACAATTTTGAATATTACGCATGTTTTTTCGACATGGAAACTCAAATACAAACAACACAGGAACGATGATACATGAATTCGAGCCTTACCTTAGCCCTTAATTCATCAGCGAGTTCTCTCTGACGATCATCATCGGGAGCTTCTTCCCCACTTCTCAAGCAAGCTCCATGAGCGATTGCCCTAAACAGGCAACGACCATCCGCTAGCACGCCTGTGGCAGTAGCAGTTCATGTCAACGACCAACGGATTAATCGATAGCAATAGCCAATCAAGCATGGAATTGATAGAGTTTATTACTGTCATTTCTATCCACCTCATCGAAGCAATGAAACATAAAACATAGATAACTGAGACTATTCCATTTCCATCACATGGTAACACTAAATTAGGCAGAATATTGGAAATTAATCTGGCCAATAACTTCCTTCGGTAATTGTCAACAAATCAAAAAGAATAATTATAAGCGAGCAGCGAAAAGTTCGATGGAACGAATTGACAGATTTCCCACATTACCTGTGACCCTGTAATCCGCGGAGCCTTCGTCGTCTTGATTGAAGCCAGGGTCGCTCGATTCACACCCTTCCTTCTTCTGATCTACCGAGATAGCCTCATGATTTGCGTCCACCCAATCGAGCGGCGCAATACAGGCGCAGACGCCAAACAGCAGCCAGGCTGAATCAGGACGGTGAAGCCAGCGGGCCGGGCGCGCGTCCCACGCCACGTTCCAAGAGCCCTCCCCCTTGCGCTCATGGCAGTGAATCGCCGGACGCCGGAGATCGCTACTGCTCCCGGCACCGGAGGGCAATATAGCGTGCCATATCGAAGCAGCACCGCCGCCCGCGAGCTTGCAGGCGCTGGAATGGTGGCGCTGTCGCCGATCGAATTGGATTGGACTCTGAACGAGTAGCCGGCTTTGATGGTGGTGGTGATGGTGAGCGGCCGAGCCGTGAACAAAGTTCGATAGCGAGACGAGGATCCAAGGCTTAGGACGAGCACAAAGTACTCCAAGCATCAGTCACTTGCAGTAGTCGAGGCTATCCTGCGCTGCCAGGGCGTGCCCCTTGCTTCGCCTACGCCGCCATACTCAGAGCTCCGGCGCCAGATTTTCTCTCTCTCTCTCTCTCACAGAAATCAGAGCAGCTTTTCTTCGATGATCTGCGACGGCGAAGCATTTTAGGGAAGAGAGAGAGATTGAAATAGTGCCCACATTGGGGCCCACCATGGAAAAATAGCTAATAAAAAAACAATAAATTTATTAGCACTTTGGAGAAAATTTTTCTTGAAAAACGTTTTTTATCGTTGTTTTCAGAATTGAAAATTGTAAATAAATGGTTTGTTTAAAGAATTGAGGTTGTATTGTAATCATATAATGCATATTTTTAAATCAGTACTGTACAGTACACGCAACTCTGTAAGTTAAAAGTAATAATAATAAATTCGTTTTCAAGAGAGTATATTGTAAGAACTTCTCTTGAAATAAATGGGAGTGGTTTTGTGATTTTAAATTTTTGGTTAGAAGTTATTTTTTATCTATGCATTTTCATTTAAGTTATGAGTTGGATTCTAATGGTTATAGTTCAGCGGTAATTGACATATATACCTTCAACTATGAGATAGGTAATTGACATATATAGCTTCAACCATGAGATTATGAGTTCGATACTTCATCTCTACATGACATAACTGATTTATTATTTTTAAATTATTGGGTTGGTTCATTAGTCTAAAATAGTTTCACATGATGACTAACTACTTAATAATTAAGTTACAATGTGTTTTATTGACAACAAAATGTGGTAGGATCAAGAAAAAATAGTTATAACTTATAACATAAAATCTTGTTAGGTGGATCAAAATGTTTTTTTAACATAAAATTTTCAATTTAAACTTTATGATTTTGTGTTTAGTTCTAATTTAATCATTAATTTGGTCAAAAATCACAAATTAGTCTCTAAACTACTTTTTACCCCCTTGAAAACTCATCTCATTTCCCTTCAATGGTGAATTTTAACGGAGTCTCATGTAACTAGTATACATTACTTCAATGCTACATAAATAAAATATATATCTATATGTCACGTATAGAATATGTAACTTGTAACAACAAATAATTTTTGAAGTTTAATCAAACTATACGAAGTAAATTGAAATTTTTATAATTATATAGACCAAATTACAACCAGATAGTTAACTAATTTCAAACCAAACGTATAAGCTCATGACTTGACCAAATATTAAACAACTATCTACAAATATTTTTCAATATTTTAAAAATACAATAAATATATATATATATTTTAGTACAACATAGGTTAGAAATCAAACTTATAATCTCTCTATTGAAAATAAATAATACTCACTAAATTAGGCTCGGTAAATAAAAAATATTAAAAGAAAAACAAAATTCCTTAACCTAACAAAGTGCCTTTTGATTTTTTAAAAAGGAAAAAGTGGTACTGGCCGGTGTCCGGTTGCCAGATGGCCCATATTCCAATTTTCACGAAAAGTTTTCTCAACGCATAGCATTTAGGTACAACGTACAACCACATGATTTCAGAGGTGAAATGTCAAATTAGTTTGATATTTTTTGTTTTGGAAGATCAAATTACGTGGCAAAATCTAAAGCCACTCAAATTGCAGATCAAAATTCTTCTTATAGAAATACAATTTTCAAAAATGCCCATTTTTTATATTACTATTTGCACCTAAATTAATAAAAATAATACATAAGAATGCGAATCTAAGAATTATGATATTGTATGGATTCATCTACCAAACACCTTGATAATTAAACAAGTCTTTTTTTTTAACCACGATTTTTTGGTCATAAATAAATATCAATTATTGTTAAGATAAGTTCTTGTTTACTTAAATTAATCATTATAGTTAATGAGACTTGTACATTATTAAAATAAATTATGTTTTATGATGGATTTATATTAAACTTGGCTCTACTTATTTTAACATTATTAAGGGATTTTTTTGAAGCAATAGTAAAATGAGTGATTTTAGAAAAACATATTTAATTACCATTGATTTCTTATATAGTAGTTGTAATGTTTAGTTTCACTTAAAATTGATTTTGATATAATTAAAAGAATTGGTCAACTTCGATTGGTCGATCTGAGGTATTTGGCCCGTGGTGGTCCGCCTGAAAATCCTTTTACAGACTTTTTAAGATAGAAACAAAGGAAAAATTATTGTAAGTGGGAAAAGTATAGAAAGAGATGAAAAACGCAATTTTAGCATTGAAAATATTGACAATTACTTTAACAAAGATTATCTGCCAACTAATATAAAGAAAAAGTACTTCAAAAATAATTTAATAGACTTTCCCAATAGTAAAGTTCATTGGCTAGAAATCACACCGATGTGATGATATAAGAGCAAACAACTCAAATATTCCTATAAACTAAAAGTTGGCATAAAAATCATCCAGCCACAATTTAAACAGGACAAAAATTCATTTCCATGGTGGATATACTAGAATATTTGGGGTTTTTTTATAATCGATATTGATATTGATATTGATATTTACTTTTTTTATTATTATTATTATTATTATTTTTTAAGTACAAACGGGTAGTTTGAACACGGTACTTTTAATTTTCAATATATGCCTTAATCAAGTTGAGCTATACTCAAATTGATAATATTTAACTTTTATTAATGATGTAAAAAATTGATATATTTCTTAAGGTATACTTCCTTTAATATATGTTTGGACAATTTCAAAAGTATTTCTAGAATAGTGGTAAGCAGTTCCAAAATTATATATTTTATTGACTTATGGTAATTATCAAAACTTTATACCATTAAACTTGTTAAGTTGATTAATTAACATGTTAATCTCACATCCATATATTCTTAGAGGTTGCAAATTTTAGATCGATCAGGCGAGGCTTTTTCATATAGGAGGAGGAAAATATATACTGACATATATAAAACTAAAATTAAAATTAGTCAGCTTAGACATGTTATTATAAAATTTTGCACTTATTAGGTTTTGGGTCATTATATATTTTCTATTATAAAGTCTATTTATTTTAGTTTAGTTTGTTTGGTTTTGTTGCTTTTTTTTTCCCTGAAAAAGGATAAAACTTAAAGACAAAATATCACTCTGAGGCTAGTAAATTCGATATCTCCAAAGGACATTCCTCGACCCATTGTACTTTGTTTTTTTGATAGGTTGTTTTCCTTAAAAAAGAAAAAACCCCTCTTTTAAATTTATATTATTGTGAAAAATAATTTAAAGTACATATCAACCATAATTTTTAAATCATAAAATAAATATTAAATTGGTAACGGTAAAATTAACAAAATAAAATATAAATAATTTCCAAACATTCTATTTATTTTGTTAGCACAAAATTTGGGGTGGGATAAATTCACAATCTCTTAATTAGAGATACATATCAATTACCGATCAGTTATGTTTTGACCTCAAACATTCTCTCAATCTTATCTACAACCAAGTTTTGAACTGAGATACATAGCACTGATTTTCGAACATGAACCATAAAGTTGTGAACATCTTAAAACTTCGTAACTTATCCAAAGAAAATCAATATTTATTTTTTACAAGTAAATATTATTTCTTTTATATATTTTTCAAAAAAAAAACTTTTATATATCATCCTATTCATATTTAGTTAATATTAACTCTTTACACATCGTTTTTATTTATTATTTTTAAGTTAAAATATATCTTTAATCTTTGTATTTTACTAAACTAATGATTTAGTATTTGAATTTGGGGATTCTTAACTCATAAATGAGAATTATGTCAATTACCGTTAAACTAAGTTAATATTGACTTCAAGATAGGAATTAAACCAATATATAATATATTTTTTTCTTTTTAGATATAATCATAGTTAAGGTTGTTTAATAATTATTTTGAATGTTTAATCTTAATAAAATATTTCATACAAATTAGGGTCAAACATTACATTGCTTGTATGCTGTAAATTAAACTCGAATAACCACATGCTTTGGGCAAAAGGTACAAAACATTGTTTCTACTTGGTAGGACATTTTTTTTTTCTTTTTCTTTTTCTTTTTTCCATTTTTTGACCTACTCGGTACCGGTAGGCTAGGCTGTTAGCTAGCGTGGCCAAATAGTAATAAAGATAATAGTTGGGGTTGATTTTCAATTTCCATTTGTCGTTGGTCACGTGAAGAATAATGTTTGTGGAATCCCACGTGTATGCTGATTGCCTAACAGCTCCCTTATAAAGCAATAAGTCACGTGTTCTACCTTACAAAAAATACCGAATTTCATAATGGCCATCGAATTCTGGCCTGATATGCTCCATTAATGATGTAATAATATTTTAAATTAAAGACAATTGATTTAACTGACATTAAACTTTTTCCAAAAAGAACTATATATATTTTTTTAGAGAAATTCCTCAACATAGCATAAATTTAACATAGATTTCAAAAAAAGAAAAAAACGTTACAATTATTTTATTTAAATATAGCATAAATATAACTTTTTAATCTTTTTTTTTTACAATGTTTAATCGGTTAGATATTAGGAATGTATTGATATTTTAACTATATTTGGTAATATATATATATAATATCTATATAATATCTTGACGAGGATTTTAGTATTACCATTCAAACTAATATGAAAAGTTGGAATGTTTTCTTTTTTTGGAAAGTTGGAGCTTAATATACGACCTTTAAAAATATTTAGCTCGTCTGCGAGATTTTAATGAGTCACGATTTTTAGAGATATTTGAATCGTCATTTTTTCAATATAATTAAAAATTTTATATTTTTACTAATGGTTTATATTTTGAATGTTGACATATTAAAAAAATTTATAGCTTTTTCTGAATACAAAAATTTTTATAACTAAAATGTTCAAAACTCTATTATGACTCGGTTTTACATTTTCATTAAGAAAAATTAATAGGATCTGTTTATACCAAATACTGAATAGCTTATTTCAAAAAAGAAAAAGAAAAAACTGAAATATGAAGCAAGCTTTTACAAAGAGAGGTATATGAGTAAAAAACTACACAAAAAGTAATAAATACTGCGACGCCTAAATTAGTAGTAATCTTACCTATACTTTCAAGACTAGGAATCAAATAAGCACACATGGGTACAAAAATGAATTCCTATTTATAGGAGTAAGCTTGTTACAAATATAGTTGGGCAGTACTCTT